TCATTCTAGAATGACAACATATTATAACACAAAAACATAAATGTTTAGACTAAATAGCATATATCTCATAACATTATACATTTATATATGTATATTTTTTTTCTATATTGACATTTCAGCCGTGTCTGGCTAGAAGTTATGGCTGAGAGGTCAATATAAAAAAAATAAATAATAAATATACATAAGTGTATAATGTTATGAGATATAAGCTATTTAGTCTAAACATTTATGTTTTTGTGTTATAATTTGTTGTCATTCTAGAATGAAAGAGGCATAATTTATATTCATTTCCTTTTTTTTTTATGGTGTTTACGAGATCGGTCAAATCTACTGAATCTGTACAGAGAAACTTTAGTGAAAATAACAGATAAAATATTAAGTTTTTTTCTTAAGAAACGTTTGATAACTATCTGGAAATTATAAAGATTTCGCATGTGAAATTTCGAAATTTACTGATGCATAAAAGTATTTTTAATGTTAAGATGAAAATTACTTTGCATGTTGGACAGGCAATATGCGAAAAGAAAAAAGGCATTAGAAATACATTGCTTTACAAACTTTAAGACTTATTAGAAAAATTTAATAATTTGTATATGAAAGCATTGTAATGTTTACTGATAATCTGCCAAATTGCGTTAACATACACTTACTAATTTGAAAGTTATAGCATGAAAACTATAACAAGCACAAAATGGCTAGGAGATCAATCTCAAGGACTGAGCCCGTGTTGAAAGAGTTAATTACCTATATTTGTTACTGAGTATATTTATAGTTTTAATTTATGTAGTTGGCTTGTTTTGATCAGCAGTTAATATTATTTTTTCATTTTTTACAATCATTTAAAAAAGTTTCAGTTAACTGATTTTTATAAATTTTTTTGTAGTAGAAGTTTTATTATTGTATTTAGATTTCCTGAACATAAATTCATTGCTGCAATTATTAGTGAAAGATATAGTATTAAGGTTGTATCATATTTCAGAAAAGTGGAAAGACTGTGTTTAAAATTTCATAAAAATCAGTTACATGAAAAGTTTTTGAATGACTGCAAAATGAATAATGTTATGTTTAAATTTGTTAATTTCAAAGAAGTGTTGAATTAACTTTGTTAATATTATAGCATCAAAAGACAGATATTAAAATTTGTGATTAAAGAGAAATGTGTTAAATATAGTTTTTGAGAACATCTTTTGAAGGGGTTTCTCCAAAATTAAACAAATAAGTGATTTATAATGATAGTGGTTCATAATAGGGATTGCAAGAAATTGCACAAAACCTTAATAGAATGTTTGGGCAAAAAGTACTCCAAAAAATAAAGATTCAACTCGAACAATACTTTAAAAGCTTTATTTGAAAGGCTGTACACATATAAAAATGCACAAAAAACACACACACATGTCAGACTTGCAAGGAAAAGAAAATCTGCTCAAAACATCCGATTTGTAATACCTCTTGTTATTCTCTTGCCAGCCTACAATAAAAATGGCTTGGTATATTGCAACTAATGTTTTGTAGAATACTAAATAAGGTACTGTGAAAGTCATGGGGGGTATGAAAAAGTTGATTTGCTTCTTCTATATTTTTACATAAGCTAAAAAAATATCATAATCATAGTGTAAATGATGTTATCATTATCCTTGAAGCTAGCTTTATTACAAATATCTAGTGTTCCTTTAAAAAGCTTAAGTATAGGGTGAAACCTGAATTACCAGCCAATAATAGATGAACATTAGATGACTGTAACATGTCAATGCTTTGTACACCATGCAATCGGTGTCTTGAGGATGCCAACCACTATATTATGTATGAAGTGAAGGAGTAAAAAAAGAAAATTAATGCACCTAATATTAAATTTTATTACACACATTCATAGAATAATTAGTTTAAAAGACACAAAGGTTTGTTTAAAGCAATGTTTAGACATGTATGTTTTATCTGAAAAGGCTGCTGGTGAAATGTTATATGTGCTTAGTGGGGGTTGTGTCTTAGTCTAGGCATATATTTGCTCTTTGCTATGTGTTAAGTGCAGAGAATTTCGATACACAGAAACTATAAATGCTCACTATATTCTCAAACAAATCTCCATGACAATCTCAAGCTGCAGCTTAACATTTTAAATCTCAAACTAATGCGAGCAAATGGTTAGTCACTACAGTAAATTGTCCCTGATGGATATCTGTCTCTTGACAGATGCTTCTCTGTCAAGTTAGGATATCTCTCCAAACAACAACATTTGTGGGCTCCAGAGGAATGTGCTCATTTCACATCAATGTACTTGAACATCACACTGTCTGTTGAGTATGTTCCCATTTCCTCCCTCTTCTTGTGAATCAGTTGTTCATGTTAGTCATGATCCACTCTAACAGTTCCACTGCATTTTCTTGTATCAAATGTCAATGGAGGGGGGGGGGTATCTGTTCCAGGACTCTTGGCTTCTGTGCATTAGACCTGTTGTTTTGGACTTGCTTCCATCAGGTTAATCTCATGGTTTGCCATGGACTCTGAATATGGTGGTGGATTGCTTTCTTGGCCTGTCAGGATTCTACCCACAGCTTCCCCTATTCTGGTCCCTATTTCCTCATCCTTTGGCTCTGGTGGTTGATGCTTTCAACCAAGATTGGTCTCATCTCTTTATATATGCCTACCCTTCTCTTCATTTTCTTTCTCATGTAATTGATTTGGCCAGCACAACTTTGGTTTCCTCTGCTTTGTGAATTGGCATCAAGGCTACCCTCTTCCTCTGCCCAATTCCCACTTTCTCTTGCTCCAACCACACATGCCAGTGGAAGAGTTCACCCAGGAGTGCTGTCCATTCATTTTCACATGTGGGATTAGTCTGGTCCATTACCCACATGACTGTTTAGCCTTTTTTTGTATCCAATTCCTGACATCCTTCAACTCTGCCCATCTGTCAACAGAAGTAGCAGGTTTTTCAAAGTTGATCCCTATGCCACTTTCTCTGAGCTGTCCCACTGGGGCTCACCTTTTGTCTTTTTCACTGGGTTGCTGAGTCATGGATTATCAGTTTTCACTATCATTAGTTATTGAGTGGCTTTATCAACTATATTTTGCATTTTCTGTTAACACCAGGGTTTTTCTTTCCCTGTTCTCTCCACTTTGGTCAGATCCTTTTTCTTTACCAGCCCCCCTCATTCTACTCCCATGTCTGACCTTAATGTAGTTTTACACACTCTTACATGTGCTTTGTTTGAGCCATGACTTCATGCAAAAGGACAAGTTTATTACCCCCATTGAAGTCTGTCCAGTTGAGACCAGGTTAGACACATATTGTACAGTGTGATTGTGCCCTAACCACACCACACTTTTTGGTTTGCCAGCTGCTTGTTTATTAGTGCTTGGCTGGTCTTGCTAGAATTCTGCTTATCCCTGTGACACTTGGAACTCTTTTTGCCTTTCCTTCCAGGTGAAGACCATACCTTGTTTGAGATGAGATGTGGTCTTCCCTATGAAGACCTTGCCAACAGGTGTCATATTCCATGGGCTTTCCCCTCTGGTGCTTTCTGAAGGGAGCGCATCTAGGTTTAAATTTTGCACTGCCCCCTATCATTTTAATGTGGAACTCTAGCTATTGTGTGTGAAGAGGTAAGGTATCATCTCGGAAGTTAACATTTCTCTTTACTAATATGTACCTCTGTATATCTTCTCAACCTCCCCCCCCCCCCGGTGCATTTTATTCTTGTCTCATCTACAAGTGAAGTTAATTCTAGTGCTAGTGCTTAGGAGAGCTAGTATGCAAGGAAGTTTTGTTGCCTTCCTGTTGATGGAAGGCTATCATCTCATGATGATGTCATCATGCATTAGCAAAGTTTGGGTTAAATGTTTTTCTCAGGTGTGAGGTAGCAAAGGTTAGTGGGATGCAAATCTTATATGCAGATGCACAAAGGAATCAAGCTATTCTGTGTAAGGAGGTGAGTATCTATTGTAAGGTAAAGAAATTAACATTTCTCTTTTTTTCAAAAATCCAAAATAGTTACTGTGTAATTCAAAGCAGTTTATACATTTTTGTATGCTTGTAGATATGTAATTTTTAAAACATAAATGCTGTTTAAGTAAACTTGTTTAGGCTGAATATGGTGAGTACATGTACTGTTTGCTGTTTTTATGAATACAAGGAAAGTTATCTTATTGACTTGTTTACTATGTAGTTGACTATCTGTATCTGTTTATAAAATAATATAGTACATTGTAATAAAATCAATTAAAAGTTTTTAAAGTTTTGTTCTGCTTACTTGAGGAAAAAGTGTTCGGAAGCATGATTTTTTTTTTCTGTGTAGGAACTTACTGAACTTCATCATGAGAACGTTGTGGCCTTATTGGAATGTAAAGTAGGTTTCTTTTCAGTATAATTTTGATATTTATCTATTTCGTATAACACCTGTATTATTTTTATTGTAACTCAGATATACTTTAATCATTATTTACTCTGAATTTAAGTAATCACTTCTACCATAATATTAAACCTTCAAAATTTTTAAATTTTGTGATATTTAATTCGTGTAAGGTAGTCTTTGGATATTAATGTATGCCTTCTATTTTTTAAGAATTTGTTAATTTAATTCCTCAAGTTATCACTGTGTATTGTTTCTTCATTTGTTGTGCACATTAATGTATCCCTTATATGATGCATGCATATAACATAATACTAATTTATTTATACATATTAAACATTATTACTTAATTTACCTAGGAAAGAAGAAAATTAATGAAAACAGTTATTTACATTTTCTAAATATTTGGTTAAAAGAATTTACATGCACACAAAATATATATACAAGACATAGTGTTATGCAATATATATAAATATAATGTGTATATCATGGTTCTCAAACATCAAAAATATAATAACACAAATTTGAGTATAATCTTTTTTATTTTTTGGAAGCTGCTTTGCTGTTTGTTTGCAAAAAATGAATGAAATCTTG